ATATGATGTAAAAATAATAATAAACACACTAAAGAAAAGGCTGTTCACCAATGAATCAGCAGCAGTCACAGCCTCATGAAAAACTTCCTTAAAGAATCACTTTTTTAAGCTATATGACCATTCTTGGCATAAAGTCAGTATTTTTTGCATTCTTGTGTTGCCAATTCAGCATGTCCTCACAACATGCAGTGTTGAGTGCTTTAGCACAGCATACAAATAAGTATTGCAATCGATTTAGTTTTACATAGACACTTTTTTTTTCTCTTCAAAGCAAAAAGGTTCTCACTACCACCTCTGAGTGTCTTTGCCTCTCACTGCAGAGACTTGACATTTCACTGTGTGTGTGCACAGAGCAGATGAGCAAACAATATCAGGTCCTCTTTAAATGGCATCAAATGCACAATGATGTCAGCCATGCACTCGTGAGCTCAATTTGTGTCACTCGGGACCTCATTCGTTGGCAATAATTGTTCAAGGACTTTGCGTGGATGTCTGTGAGACTGATAGAACCCTAAAGCGAAGCAGGTGTACTCCCTGCAGTCTTCCTCACCATCACACAAGCCTTATCCATCAGACACTTGGAGGTGCTGTCTTTATTGGCCATATGCCAAAGGTGAGAGACGAGGAGGTGAGAAGGAGCCAAACTGGTGAAAAATGGAGAGACAGAGAAAAGTTCTGTGTGCATTCTGCTGAACTGAAGTTTTACTACATCGGCTTGTAGATGTGAGAAAAGAATCAACTTTTAGTGAAAGTCAAACCTTCTGTAAAACTGCCCCAGAACGTTCTTTGATGCCCAGTCCCAAAGGATAGGTACATTTGTCCATAAATGTATTTTTGAGCAATCCTCTTCCATTTTGTGCTGGCAGTTGTCTATGTAACGTGACAAAAGTGTCACCCCACAAATAACACAATTGTTCGCTTTATACCATGTGTTTTAACTCCTGCCTGTCTTCATGGAAAAACATAATAGAATGATAAAGAGCTTGGAAAACATTTCTTCTTCATTCAATCATCCTGTGGGACCGGTTCTAATCTCCTGGTTAGGGATTTTTTTTCTTGGTGTTTGTATGTTTAGTTTGTTTGCTTGCTCATACTTCTTGGTTTCTTGTTTATCTGTATTTTACTGCTAATTTCTGACTGTTTTTGTTTGTTTGTTTGCCTTCTCATTGTTTCCCCTCAGTCTGCAATGCTTGTCTCACACACCTGCCAGCCATCAGGAATCTACTCAACTGTTTTCTTTGCCAATCCTCCTTCCCAGTAGAAATAAGCTCTCTGATTTTACACCATCTTTGTTGGATTTTTATTCATAAAGCTCCTATTTAGTACTGGTGTTTTATCACCTGCACTTCTGAGTTAGTTTTCATTTATTAAACATTGTGGATTGACAGTATACTTGCTGGCTTGCTACCTGCTTTCTTGAGTCCTCATCAACCAACAAACTGCTAAAAACATTACACTTAAGTTCAGCACTTCAGCATTGAAGTCAACAAATTAACACCTCAGTTTTGACCCACTTACAGTGGTGAGATGTGCTGTAGGAGTGACAGATAGCTTCAAGGTGGAGGTGGGAGTGCATCAAGGATCGGCTCTGAGCCCCTTCTTGTTTTCTCTGGTGATGGACTGACTAACAGATGAGGTCAGGCAGGAATCCCCATGGACTATGATGTTTGCAGATGACATTGTGATCTGTGGTGAGAACAGGGAACAGGTGGAAGAGAACTTGGAGAGGTGGAGGTATGCACTTGAAAGAAGAGGAATGAAAGTCAGCTATTGCAATACAGAGTACATGTGTGTGAATGAGAGGGAGGCAGGTGGAACAGTGAGGCTACAAGGAGCAGAGGTCACAAAGGTGCAATACCTCAAGTACTTGGGGGTCCACTGTCCAGGAAAATGGGGAATGTGGTAAAGAGGTAAAAAAGAGAGTCCAGGCAGGATGGAGTGGATGGAGAAAAGTTTCAGGAGTAATTTGTTACAAAAGGGTGTCAGCAAAGGTCAAAGGAAAAGTTTACAAAACAGTGGTGAGTCCAGCTATATTGTATGGTCTGGAGACAGTGGCATTGACAAAAACACAAGAGAAAGAACTGGAAGTGGCAGAAATGAAGATGTTGAAGTTCTTAGGAGTGACAAGGATGGATAAGATTAGCAATGAAATCATCAGAGGTACAGCACAGGTTGAACAGCTGGGAGATAAAGTTAGCGTGGCCAGACTGAGATGGTCTGGACATGTCAAGAGGAGGAACAGTGCATATATTCAGGGCCTTCTCTGTAGCAGGAACAAGACTTTGGAACGAGTTACCTCTGCTTGTCAGACAGGTCCCCTCCCTCTCGGTCTTCAAGTCCCGTTTAAAAACCCACTACTATTAGTTCTACTCAGTTTAGTTCAGTTGAGCGCTGATTCAAGTTTCATTTAGTCAGTTCAGCTTAGTGCCACTTCAGATCACTTCAGTGTCGACTTTGGCCAAGCCACATCAGTTCAGTGCCAAGTCAGCTCAGTTTAGATTTGATTCATTTCAGTTAAAATCAGTGCCTTTTTCCATCAGTGCCGGCTGAATTTAACTGCAGTTCTTTCAAACAAAGGAGGCCCAGGCCTCCCTTGCAAAAGAGATGTGTGATCTCAATGGGATTTGCCTGGTTAAATAAAGGTTAATAAACTTACATTACTGTCACATTCACATTAAGACCTGATGCAGAAAGATGAACAGGTCCGGCTCAACAAACTTTCTCTCACAACTGCCACAAAAATTATGGATCAAATGTTTTTTTTCTTCAAAAATGCATACTTTTTGTATTCGGTCTCACAAAATATCCATCAGAGCAGGCTAGGTGTTGTTCTAAATTTAGTGTGTTCGGCTGAAGCGGCTGTGAGATTCTTGAATGGTTAAACACTAATCCAGGTGGTGTAGAGATAAAATGCATCTGGCTGGGTTACACAGCTCTTCATTGTCTGAATGTCACCAGGGGGGATTGGAAACAGATAGGAGTGATAGAAAGGACTGGTTGCTTCTTAGCATGAGGGAGATGGAAGCAGCGAGAATCAGACTGGTAATCATTAGTTGTTAGCAAACACGAGATATAAATGCCAACCTGTCACTCGTGTTTTGTACTTTGTTGTTAAATCTGACTGATCTAATCTGCTTCGGACTCTTACAAGTTTGGGAATGCTGAAAAATTTCAAAGCAAAAAAAACCCTCTCTATTATTTATGATTTCAGTTTATGGATGGTAAAGGTGGTAAAGTGTTTATAAGGTGTCTTCTGTGCGCATGTCGTACTCCTCTCAGAGTTGGTTTACAGTAGCTGGTCTATTAATAGCTTAAAAACATGTTTTCATGATTTGACTCTCAGTCTCACAACGCAGAGGCAATAAATAAAATAAAATGTTACAGCAT